TCGAATCATCGCTGCCCAGGCGCGGCGATCTGATGCACGGAGTTCATGAAGTTTCATGGGAATTTGGTACGAGTGATGTCCCCAGAATCGCTCGGCCTTTTGTTTGAGAGTGCAGCTCTAGCCTTTACACAACCAAATGTGACCTACAAGGCAGTAGAAATGGAGTAGGGAGTCCACTATCCATTGGCAGCCGGTGATCGGAGTTTGGTTCATACACCTTTTTGAATGGGGCCAGACATCCAGGAAATCCAACAAGCCCTTTCTCCATACGTCTGCCGGTGAGCTCCAGTGAGCTTCATACGCCAGTCGTTGGAGGTTTGGAATCAGGGTTTAGCCATCTCCCCTAGACTGTCATCCAATGGACAGTCAACCCGGTGAAGAGCGCCGGGCATCCGCTTTCGCCCTCTCACTCCGGTGAAAAACACCTCCGCCACATGAAGGCAGTGAGTAGGACTTCCTCAGGAGAGGCTATGTAAGACGCCCAGTCATATGGGAGCATTTCAAGAGGTGTGCGGAGGGGTGGCCAACCCGCAGCGCAAGGCACCCACCCCGACCATCCTGAGGCTTTGGAGGGAATACAAAATATTCAGTGGACGCTATAATACATTATACTTTGAATACAAATGCAGTGTTAGTGGACTACCGCTTCCATAGGAATTCAACCTTTGAGATGAGTGACTTGGTTCTAATTTACTTTATTTTTATTCCTTCAAGTTCCCGGTGGAACATAGGGCTTCAAGCTAGAGGCTTGAGGTTTCTGTAGCAGTGCTTATTTTACAGGATGGGGTTGAAAGCCTCATGCCCAACCTTTCCTCTTTGCCAGCTTTTTTAATATTGGCTCAGCAAGGTAAAGGAGTGCGTTGGCCGGGATTCGAGCCCCGGACCATGTGCATGGTCGGCGAGCGTCCTTACCGCTATGCCACCGACGCACTGTTCTAATTTTCAGTGCTAGTTTATAAATCGCTAGTGTGTCGTTATATGGAATTGAAATAGGAGGTATGAACATATGGTGTGAACGCAGGAAGTCAATCTTTGTGTCTTACCACATAGCTGGTGGGACTTCCTTGACACACACACACAGTTACAATTCTCTTCAAAGTCAGCAAAAACATGTTTATTCGCGATTAGATCTGTGTGGTCCTTGTCAACTGAAATAACACCAAGAACCCAAAATTATCAAAGCAGTGGTGTTAGGTAGCTATACATTCTACCTAATATTTTAAAGTACAAAATAAGTACTGCGGAACAAAATTAGTTGACTGAAATTTATCCATAAGAAGTACCTTCCTGAATTGGAAAATCAGGAAGGGGAGCTCCCAATGTTAGATTGCAACGTAAAAAGGAAAGAAGATGGGAAGTTAAACACTAGTGTTTACAGGACACCCACACACTCAAACATATATTTGGACTTCCAATCATCCCATTCTATGTCAGTAAAAATAGGACTGGTGAAATGTTTAAATGACAGAGCACAAAAACTAAGTAGTACCAGGGAAAATCTAAAACAGGAACTGATGCACATAAAAGAAGCCTTGAAACTTAATAAATACCCGGATAAATTAGTCAAGAAATATGTAAGGAAATGTAAAAATAAAATAAATAATGATAGTAGCGATAGTGATAATAACAATAATAAGGATAATAATAATAGTGATAATAATAATATTATGATTATTCACGACACCAATAATAAGGAATCTAAATCATCAGTAGTAATTCCATACAAGGAAGGAACCTCGGAAACCACCTTACGCAGAATTCTTAACAAGGCAGGAATAAAAGTGCTCGGCATTCAAACCTACCACAAACTCAATTAGAAATAAGCTTTGTCATTAAAGGATCAATCCTATGGAGTCATTAAAACAAAACAATTTAGTTTATCTCATACCCTGCCTGCAATGATTGTCAGGTCAAATACATAGGTCAAACTAGTAGAACACGGGCGGTCAGACTAGCCGAACATAAAAACTTAGGAAAATGTAGATTGGTTGATCCAAATAAGATAAAAAATCCAGAGAATAGTTCAGCTATAGCACTGCATGCAGTTACACACAAACACATAGTAGGATGGGATAGGATGACAGTTTTAAAATCTAATGTCACAGAGTATAGGGAGAGATTGATAACAGAAGCTTTGTTTATCGGATCAACTACAAATACATGTAATAGGAATGATTCATCACCCATCGCCGATATCTGGAAAATTCCACTACCCCAATGACGACAAATAGGAGAAAACAAAGAAAACTATAAAACTCGTTTCAAAGTCGTGTGATTATAATTGATATGATTATGAACAATAAATTGTGCCCGAAACGTCATCCAGTAAATAACACTTTCACTGTGTGATATATCTAATAAACAAACTAAAATGTAATTACTTACTACCACAGTGCCCAAGTTTTACATATATATTAATACCACTGTGATTAACTCCAGCAAAATATAATCTTAAAACAACATACTAACAATGTATCGATAAACAACAAAGAGAAGCATTACAATTACAGATTAAACATAGACAGAGACTAATGATAAGTGTCAAGTCAACATATGACATGCAAACATCAGAAGAAGGATATACAGTTTAAAAACACAGTTTTTCTTTGTTCAGCGAAGAAATTTCTTTTCAACGACTTCATTTTCAAGCTTTACAGTCGTATTTACATTACAGAAAAAAGGTTATTAAGTGGCACTAAATAATTGCTCAGTCAATGTACATATATGTGATAAGGATAACGATAATTAAAATATTATAAGGGGTACAGTTGAAGTGGATAAATTACAAAATTATTAAAGATTGTTTTATAAGTGAATTGAAATCAAAAATGTTTTAAAAATGTCAAGTGTTGTCTAAAAATTTTAAAATATTAGGAGTACCATTATGATAAGAATGAGGATATGAAGTGAAGTGGAAAGAATTCAAGTGGTAAAATAAAATAAAGTAAAAACTAGAAAGAACATTACTATGACCAAGGTAAAGAAAGGGGTTTGACAAAACGTTTTTGTAGACAAAAGACAAGTAGTTCAGCAAAGAGTCTCTTTTCGGCGAATTCATTTTCAAAGCTGTACAATCGCAAATATATATGGTTATTTTGTGTGTGTGTGTATACATTAAATTTGTCAAACAAAATACGGTTAGTAAGTTCAAATGAATTGTATGTTGATAAGAGGATAGCAACAAAAGTGATGAATGAGGTGTACTCAAAGGGTGTGCATGGAAACAAAACACACCCTTTGAGTACACCTCATTCATCAAACTATTCATGCCATTGCGTAACTCTTATTTAGCAATCATTTATGACAACCCATCACTTTTGTTACTACCCTCATATGTGAACATCCAATTCACCTGAACTTACTCCTCTTTAACAATCGTTTTTGACAACTCATCACTTTTGTTGCTATCCTCTTATCAACCTCCAATTCATTTGAACTTACTAACCGTACTTTGTTTGACAAATTTAATGGATACACACACACAAAATAACCATATATATATATGCGATTGTACAGCTTTGAAAATGAATTCGCCGAAAAGAGACTCTTTGCTGAACTACTTGTCTTTTGTCTACTAATGTCCGAATGGGAATTATCCATGAATTAAAAACGTTTTTGAACACATAATTTAGCTTTCTGTTCATGTATAGCTAAAGCTTCGGCCATGCATAAGTGAAGAAAACGTAAACGTTTGGATCGATTCGATTTTGCCATGTAGATAACTTTGAAAAATGAATCACGTGAGGCTAAATGACCTGACTCTAAGAGGTGATCACAAATAGACGACTTCGAAGTTCTACGTTCGCCTTTCATTAACCAGACTGGATAGTGTTCAGCTATACGTTTTTGGAGATTACGCTTCCAACGTCCAATATAAACAGCTCCACAAGAGAAGGTAAAAGAGTAAATACAAAAAACAAAAAAACTGTGTTTTTACTTATCAATAAATGGGCATTTTTCATGATATACAGTTTAGGAAAAAAAGGAGTAATACTTACAATGTTAGCGGAAACGTCCATATTGTATTTACGGTAGTTCAGAGGGGATTTACCGATGCATATACGCTGCTGTCCTGATGGCTAGCCCGAGGTGTCAAGCAGATTGCATACTGTGCTCTGAAAAGTTTGATTTCCAAAGGAAAATGTGGTGAAATGTCACCTCTTCTAACCGTGTGAACTATGAATAGTGAATCAATTTGTAAATTTTAAATTTAATGTTCAACCGTAGGTGTAAAACAATGGTTAATTGATCTTCCATGCGACTTTGATTTCACTAAGTTTATGAGTTATGACTTCGAAGTCCTTTTCCATAAGGGAATGGTCAGCATTTGATTATTATTGTTTCCTTTAATTCCTAGAGCAACATAGGACTTCAGCCGTGCGTCTCCATTGCGTTCGGTTCTCTGCCACATTCTTCAGCTGGCTCCAAGTCTGCCCACACGTTTTCATCTCCTCTTCACATGACCTCCTCCAAGTCACCCTCGCACCGACGACCAACTCGCCGCCTCCCTTTCAGTCGGGTTCCACTCGAGCAATGGCTTGTCTATTGATGTCACTCACTTGATGGTTTGTTTCCTCAGAGTATGGCCAGCCAATCAATCTATCTCGATTTCTTCCTGCCTATTTGTTTCACAGTCGGTTCCTGCTGTGTTGGTTGGTTCGCTCATTGCCAGAGATCCCTCTCTGTTGCTGATCTTTTCTCGCTGGCCGGCCATCTGATCTTGAGTGGTATTGAGCGAAGACAACTAGCTGTTGATGAAGTTCTGCAGTTTGTTTGAGATGCTCTTAATGACGCGCAGTGCAAGTCTCTGATCCGTATAGTGAGTAGCACTGACTGTCTTCACATTGGAGTTGAAAATCCGGATCTTATTGGTTAGCATTTGAAGTACTAATTATTTCTCCATTTAGATGAATTCTTTTTGTCTGACTAGTAGCATATATTTTTCAAAATGTTCCATGAATGATATGATTATATGATTCATACCCTTTTTGTATTTTCAGCCCTTTTCATCTGGGATAAATGTTCATATCAATGTGAAAAATATCAGATTATTACCAGAATATGAAGATGTAGAACACTTGGCCAGTGATAACGGCATTGTTATGGATTCTTCAAGGAAATCGAATATGCAACATTGGCGTAAACCACTGGAGACAATTATTAAGACAGCATGTCGGTGAGTTTGTATTGGTAAACTTGATACTGTTTTATTTCCCTATATAAAAGTAAACAAAAAAAGGCTCGAGATACGTGTACAAGATATGACTAGTTCATATCAGCTTCTTTAAATGTCCAGACTCGACATAACACGAGTGATTGATTTCGGAAAGGTAATCAGCTAAATAATTATTGAATTCAGTTTTGATCTAAATTTCATGAACCCTCCTTAGTCAGCTGGTGAAATTCATCGGAAACAAATGGGTAATTATTATTATTGTTATTATTATTGTTCCCTTGGATTCCTAGTGAAATGTAGGGCTTCAAGTACACGTCTCCACTTGCTTCTGTCTTCTGCGGTACTTATCACCTGCATCCATGTTAGTCCATACTGTTTCAACTCCTCTTCACACGATCTCCTCCATGTCACCCTTGCACTGACGTTCCACTCGCCACTTCCCTTTCGGGTTTCACTCGAGCGTTGGCCTGACGCGCGATGTCACCCAGCGACCTCCTCAGCCAGTGAGTGTCCAATCCATCTCCACTTTCTCCTGCATATTTGTTGAGTGACTGGTTCTTGTTTTCTTTATTCCCATAGTTTCTTTCTTGTTGGTTCTCGTTCTTTCCGGCCATCTGATCTTCAGTATAGAGCCAGCGAAGACAGTGAGTTGTTGATAAAGGTCTGCAACAGGCTGTTGGAAATATTCTTTGTGACCCGCCAAGTTTCTGATCTGTATGGAAGAAATGACTTGACGTTTGTAGTGAAAATCCAAATGGATAATTAATTTAAGCCAATCAAAACAATTTTACATTGTCTTACTTAGCTGTCTGCAGTCATATATGAATTACTTTAAGTGCATTAGAATAATGCTCCACTTCGACCTACCATAGACATGGTCAGCTCACCATACCACCAGATCGCGAAGTGACTAGCTGATATCTTTGAACTGGTAAGAAAACATATAACAAAGTTATAGCCTTAGCGATATATTCGACTTCATAGATTCATTGAAAGATATCAACGTGTTTAAAATACAAATACTTTCACTAGATGTCACCTTTCTATTCACAAGCACCCCCCTGACCGCGACATTATGCTTCATTTGTGACTACATCGAAACCAACAACCTAGAAGTTCCTCTTCCTATCAACTAACTGAAGGAACTTCTTCTCAGAGGTACATTTAATATCCAATTCAAATTCAATGAAGAATTCTATTCTGGATGTTATTCTTACAAAAAGAACAGACAGTACCTTAAAGAGAAACATCTATAGGAAAGCCACGTGGAATTGACAATACACCCACTTCCATAGCTTCATACCTATACAGTATAAGCGCAACCTAATTCGTTGTCTCAGCCATAGAATTAGACGCATATGTACCGATGACTGCATTGAAGATGAAATAAGAAATGTTACAAACGCCTTGCTACAAAACGACTATCCTACCAACTTTGTAAAGAAGTATATCTATGAAACTACACACAAAATTAAGCGAGAACAGTAAGTAAGAAAAAGCTCTACTTAAATTTACAATTCAAAGGCGATATATCCAGCGACACATTAAACCGTAGATTAACAGGATCAATTGAAAGAACTTTCAGTGCCGCGAAATTGCATGTCACTTTCTCAACCAAACAGATATTAACACTGTGTATTAAAGATAGATTACCCAAAATGGCGACATCAATGTGTGTATGTAAATTCAACTGCTGCTGTGGAGCCAGTTATATAGGTCGTACCCCAAAGGAATTTATCTCTACACACTCGTGAACATATTCCTGTTTGGCTTGGGAAGAGAGTAACCAAACCATTAAATAGTGCAAATCTGTCTCATCTAGTGGATAGCGAACACAGCATCAAAGTAGATAAGTCATTTACAGTTGTGTATCGAGTACCGAACAATCTCCCCAAAGGCACACAGTTACGCCTCCTAGCCATAGCTGAGGCTTTAGAGATTAATAGAGAAAAACCAGACTTATGTGTACAGAAAAAACTTATTCACTCTCTCTGTCTACCCTGGTCCACTATAAGGTCACCAGAATCATAACTTTCCGTATTGCTATTACCCTTATTATCATTTTGTGATACCATGTCTTTATTATCCATTTCTCTACCTCATTGTTACCCTTAATTTTGTCAACCTTTGTGATTTTATACGGAGCCTACCAATTCTGTAGCATCTTATTACAGTTTACAATTCAGCCTCTTTATTTTATCATCAGACATTATTGGTCAGCCCTCACATTCAGTGTCCCCTTTGTTAATGTGTATTTGCATGTATTTTGTGGTTATCGCATTTCTCTCATCCCAATAACACTTGTATTCTGTTGACTATAAAACACAGCACTATATCACCCAACTGTTCATTCACACTTTATCACGTTTTTTCTGACTATACACCCTATACGCATTTGATTGATTATGTTAACTAACGGACTATCATCTCATCTTACACGTGCACCCCAATACAGTTTCTGATATTATTTACATTTGCCTTTAATTGGCTATATGTACTCTATTATTTATGGATTTATAAATGTAGAGCCTGAAGAAGAATTTTTCGAAAACAATTGTTAGCTCAAAATCTTGCTTTGATTTCAATATGGGGATATTTCATTTGCGGAATTCTATAAACATAAATATGGTGTAGCTATGAAGCCTTTTCTTCGTCTACTGCTAGCTGACTGCTTCATGGAGAGTCTTGAAAACAACATCCTCGATCCTTTGACAAGTCAACTGCACTTGTACAGGAGATACGCAGACGATACGTTCATAATTTGTGATGAAAAAGTTGGTTTAGAGCAGCTTCTCAAAACTTTAAACGCAGCACACCCATCAATAAAATTCAGCTTAGAACGTGCATCTAACATGGCATTTCCATTCCTTGATGTACTACTTACCAGGAGACAAGACTGCACGATCCAGAGATCAGTATATCACAAGCCACCTTGGAAGGGACAGTTTATCAACTTCCAGAGCTTCGTCCCACTGATCCGAAAGCAAAATCTGATGCTTGCATTAAGTTCAAGAATTAGTAAAATGAGTTCAGAAGACGCGCTAGGGAAAGAATTAAGTTTATTAGGTGAAACCCTACTGGAGAACGAGTCTCCACCAAGATTCATAGACAAAAAAGTGAAAGAAAATGCTTCGTCGTCAAAAATCACAACTGTAACTAAGAAGACTCTCTTCATGTACCTGGAATTCAAAGGTGACATCGAAGCAGAAATTCTTAGAAACCGCATTTTTAAATGTCTGAAAAAGACATTTTAAGCAACAACCTTAAGTATCACATTCTCCAGCAGACAGCTAATACAGTATAAAGTTAAGGATAAGATACTGCTTTTGGCCACCTCAATGTATACTTATTAGTTTATTTGCTCTTGTGGAGCAAAGAATATCGGCGTACGCAACGTCAAGTCCACAAACGTATTCTGGGACATTCTCCAGGTTGGTTAGGCTGAGGAGAGAAGATGAATAGTAGCAGGTCGATCATCAATCACCCCCTCATGAGTGATTCACAATGGTACACAAAGCTCCTCAATGTCGTGCGGAAAGGCTTTCAATACACCATATATACATAGCTGTATTCGGGATCTGAAACCGGACCTCTGCACTGAAAAGTGCTATATATATTCACTCTCCCTACCACGGTCAGAGTAACGTTCTTACTATAATTTTTTTTATAATACATAAGTTAACTATTATTTTCTTATTATTATTATTTTATTATCATTATTATTCTAATCATCCATAATTTATTATCACTCTATTACTGTGCATTATTAACATTGCGTTTTCATACAGCTTTTATACAAACGCTTTATCGTCTTTCCATCAGTTCCTATCCACTGTACACAATCATACTGATTAGTCATATTTTCACAACTATTGTGTCATGTCCTGTTACTTCTGCCTCTTTTCTAACTGTCATTTAGTTAATCCTTCTAGACAACACCCTCCATTATATTATTATTATTGTATCCTTTAATTCCTAGAGAAACATAGGGCTTCAGCCACGCGTCTCCATTGCGTTCGGCTCTCTGCTAGAGTCTTCACCTGGCTCCAAGTCTGTCCACACGTTTTCATCTCATCTTCACATCACCTCCTCCAACTCACACACCCTCGAACTGACGACCAACTCACCGACTCCAATACAGTTGGGTTCCACTCGAGCAATGGCTTCTCTAGTGATGTCACTCACTTGATGGTTTGTTTCCTCAGAGTATGGCCAGCCAATCCATCTCCATTTCTTACTGCCTGCCTATTTGTTTCACAATCGGTTCCTGCTGAGTTGGTTCGCTCATTGCCAGAGATCCCTCTCTGTTGCTGATCTTTTCTGGCCGGCCATCTGATCTCGAGTGGTACTGAGCGAAGACAGCTGTTGATGAAGGCGTGTAGTTTGTTTGAGATGCTCTTTATGACACGCAGTGCAAGTGTCTGATCCGTATAGTGAGTAGCACTGACTGACTTCACATTGTAGTTGAAAATCCGGATCTTATTTTTGATGCTGAGTGCTGTTCCTTGCATTATAGTTTTTACGTAATACTTGTTTTAAGGACACATTTTACCAGTATCTGATTGTTCTTTTGATTTCTTTGTTATATATGATTATGATTTTCAAGAGGTGTTTTGTAATGATTAAATGTGTTTTCCAATTTTGACGACGGACTGATATCAGTTACAGAACCACTGTAAACCAGGGAGTACTGGACAGCTGTTTCATCCTAGTTTGGTAATAATCGGCAGTATGAACTCACCACCAGTATGCAAACCCCGCACCTTCTGGTTATAAGGCAAGCTCGTATACCATTCAGCGACTGAGACAATATGAAATGGAGTAAATATGATGTATCTTAGTGGAGAGAAAATGTAGGTAGCTCAGTGATTCAACCAGGCCGCCGTTTCATTGATGAGGTTTTTTAGGCTGAGAGGCTTCACAGAGTAATTTTTCATCACTGTACTAGGTGATATAAGGCCAACTTTCGAATATTAAATAAATCATCTGTGAGTAATGCT